AGTTGCAGTGGAAATCGTCTCCACCATCAGTTCCTCGTTAGCTAACACCAGGTCCAAAACCGATGGTGACTGTTTGGCTCCAAACCTCGTGGGATCCTTCACAAAATTGTAAAGTGGATAGGATTCCATAGGTTGTGCAAGTTTCCTCTCAATTGGTTGTAGAGAGGTCGCTGATTTAGCTAGGTTAGGGCAATTGAAGTCACCCATAATGAGAACATGTGTAAACTTCAGTGACAGTATGTGATACATGGTTTGCAATAGTATCTCATTGGCTGAGTATGTGGATGAGGGAGACCGGTACACCACAGCGATCAAGCCGATATCGCGCTGCGACAGTCACACTTTGCACCATAGTGAGTCAGAAACCGCAGCAGAATATTCAATTACCTCGCATTGTAGTTTGCTGCTAAAGTAGAGTAACACCCCACTACCCCTTGTAGGTCGATCGCGTCTGAGCAGCGTCATGCCGGGTAAACTCAACTCTGAGTTCAGGATGTCGGTTGTCACCCAGGTTTCGGTGACTGCAATAATGTCCCATTGACCAGTTTGGCAACGCAGTTCTACCTCTGAAAATTTGATGAAGAAATCTTGGGAGTTAGTGTAGAAACATTGCAGTTGGTGGCGGAGCAGAAACTCTTTGGGGAGCAGGGGGTTAGTTGAGCCGACCGTATCGTGGTCGAGAATGTTTTTGGGAGAATAGTTTTCTGGGACAGATCTGCCAGTTTCGGGAAGGAACACAAAGTCTGTCGGAACCCAGCTTGTATGGAGGTGATATTTTCTGCCTGTGAAACACTTTTGGTCCCTGTGTTGTGCATCGGTCTCAACCTCAGATCTGATGGTCCCTTGATCCTGTTGTCGTACCAAGACTGCAAGACAGTCGTAGCCATTTCTGGTGTGCCTAGAGTTATTTTCAGAATTCTCGGGCCGTCTCCGCGGTAGTTAGGAGAACAGGGGAGACGGCAAACTGCTGTAGTCGTGATCTGGCGACATCCGATGAGATATCGAATGAACCGCCACTCTTTACAATCATTTTGCTGGAATTTTGATGCGTCTGGATCATTTAATTGTGGGGCTCCGTGTATAAGAATCACCGGGGCATTGTCTGTTTTCCGTACGCTGTCCGGGTTATTTCGTTGGTGCGCGCGCTCGCTCCATGGTCTGTCTGGCAGAATCCTCATTTTACTTGAACTTCCTCGAAGGAGAAAGCTGGACAGAAGAACATAAGTATCAAGCCAAGCACTCAGGCATGAATTGTTCCCCTTAAACATTAAAGTGTTAGTTAGTTGCGCTGGTTCGGCTCAAAGCCCGGTCTCAGTGACCAAAACGGTAAATTGGGTCAGACAATGTTATTAACATTGATAATGATGGGTTCAATTTTGTTTTTTGCACCAAAGATGTTACACTTCGGGACTAATAGAAGGCTCATGTGGAAGGCGAAGATGGTGATGAAGAGATCGAAATACATGAGCTACAAGACGCCAGGATGCACATAAAAATTTTGCTAGTTCGAATTAAGCCACAGTTTGTTGGTGTTGGTGTGTAATCCCATTTGGAATTGTTGTTTGCAGATGTTTGGTAGCCAGGAGAGACAACATCATCAATGCAACTGCCCCGAAGCTCCCCGAAGTTGCAACAATGATGTTGCCTAGCCTGGCTACCATACGACTCTGAACAAAACTTCCAGCTCAGAAAACACACCAACATCGACTTCCGCATCCCGAGCTACGATCGTTCCACGTTATAAGCAACAGTTTGCTTCACTCGTGAATCGAAATGACAACCAAAATGTTTCCCAACCGTACTTCGATCAATTTATGATGACCAGTAAAGATGTAACAATGGTTGAAGGCAGATGACGAGGCTCAGATTTCCCCTTTCAACCTAATGGTTAATTGTCTAAGTTACGTGATTGTTGAAAAGGTTTCGACTCAACTGAATAGTTAAATTTGTCGTGCACACGGAAAATGAAATGTGAGCCGAAAAGCTAGGAAGCACTGGACAGCCGTTCCGACCTAGTTGGATCTCATCAGTCGAGCGAATTCATCGACCCAACAGGGGATCGAACCCGGGAACTCAAAGGTAGAACGTAAGAATACTACTCACGCGACCACCGGGTAGGTGATTGGACTGCTTTTCATTTTCAGTAAACACGATATAGTCCAGTGCTTCCTAGCTTTTCATTTCTGGCGTCATTCAGTTCAGTTCTTAGTTCTTACAACCATTAACCACATTCGTGCTCCGGTTTCGTTTGCTGTCTTTTGGTTACCCATTTGGATAAAACAGCAGAATAATGATTAGGATGTTGAGAGCAGATTCAAGCAGAAGACAGCGCGTAGACTGCAGTTCACATAGACTGCAGTTACAAGAATAATGAGTAGATGCAGGAATGCCACTGTTTACGACATTCAGCCATATCGCTCAGAGTCTCTAACCATCGGTGACCATGATCTCGGGGTCTCCAGGCTGGGAGCTTAACGGGACCTATGTGAGCCAGTATTCTGATCAGGGTTTTCATACCCTTATTCTAGGTCTTAATTTGACCGCTCTTGATTTTTTTCCAACCGCTACTTGTCTCGGTAAACATCGCTCGTCGTGGCAATCTATCTGATGACATGCGTAGCACATATCCCAACCAGCATAAATTATGGAGGTCGACTACCTGCTCCAGTGGACGATCACGATTACATAGAACTCTACACCAAACCTCGGCATTGCTAGTTCCGTTTCCCCACCAGACTTGTGCAGTGCTACGTAGACAGCCGTGTTCAAAAACCGACAATCTATTTTTATCCTGATCCCGTAATTGTGAAGTCTCTGCATCGTATAGCAGAACTGGTCGAACTGCTGCAGCAAATACTTGACCTTCCACAGACAGCCGGATGTCCCGACGGCGCCACAGATGTTTGAAGTTGGCAAATGACAACCGAACCTTCTGCATGCGCGCCGACAGTTCATCTGTGATGCGTCCGCCAGGTGAGATATATCTGTCCAGATAGCAAAACCTGTCTACTTTCTCTACAACTTCCCCGGTCAGAGTGAGGTTGGGGACTGGGCCAACCCAGTAGCAGCATTTTACACTTTGAAGGTGCAAAACACACGGAACATGGCTATAATAGCACTCAAACTATCCAGAAAAGCTTTGAACTCACCTGAATCTTCACTTATTAGCACATTCTTGTCTGCATACTATAGATTAGTCAGTCTGCCACCCGGGAGTAAATCGATGCTGCTATCCTCGCTCGAAGATAGAGCTGTTTCAAGAATAAAATCAATCACGGAGTTAAATAGAAACGGAGAGAGAGGGAAACCTTGTCGAACACCACTTTCGGTGATAAACTCGGGTGAAAAAGTGCCGTAAGCTTGGATTCGGCTTCGGCTATTAGTATGAAGCGATCGTAATATTGAAATAAAATTCTCGGGCACACCCTTCAGCGAAGGGCGGCGCCAGAGTTTAGAGTGGTCGACTGGGTCGAAAGCCACTGTCAGATCCAGGAAGATGAAAATGGTGGGTCTACGAAAAGTTTCTGTGTTCTGGGATTTGACGAAGATTGAAGATAGGATCGATACAACCTCCACCGAGTCTAAAACCAGCCTGATTCTCACGTGTGCACTCTTCACGAGCGGCAGACAATCGACGAAGTATGATGCCGGTGAGAAGTTTAGGGGCAACTTATTCCTCTGTGGTCTCACAAGAGGATCTGTCATTGGCATTAAGCATGACGGAATTCAAAATTGTCTATATTTGAACTAAAAAAGCTTGAAGCGCTGAGAGTAGGTAGATGGTAATGAGAATTGCAAAAGAGAACAGACGAGAAAATTGAATTTCTTCATAAAATGATGGGGTTCAGCACTATGAGTGGTTTTGATCACTCGCCAAATAACCACGAATATGAAGGTCTTCCTGACTGATTAAACAGAATAAAAAGAACGAAACCAGCTTTCACCACTAAAGTGCTTGTTCCAGATCATTTTACACTGTTGCAACCATCACCGTCGAGGATCTTACAACTTATCTGTTTCATACTCTCATCTTCATTGGTTTCACTGATGTTTTTCATACAGCTAATTATCGAATAATCGACTGAGTTTCTTTGATAAAACAGTAAAATCGGTATAGTTAATTTTTATACCTGGGAACGCGTTGCACGTCAGAGCAGGCGATTCAGTGACGCTGGCTATTACTCTCATGTGTGTCAGATCAACGAGGCGTTTACCAAGCAATTTCCCAGTAACCTCAACTACGCTTATTTAGTTATCTAATCGGACTCCTGTGGTACAGTGCAGACACAAAGCGGACTAATACTATAAGGAATAGTTTTATCATTTTGCACTTATCACGGGTGATTATTTGATCCTGTTTTTCACGAGTTTGTAAAATTTTATCTGCCCCATTCCACCTCCCCGTATCATTCCTTTCGTTGGAAACATATCTGAAAGAATTTGGAAGACAAACATGCACTTCGCATTTCACTCGAGACTAAAGTGAATCACTTATGGTTCGATTTCAAAACTGCACTCAGTCAGTACAATAAGACAACAGAGGAGAAAATTTCATTTTTCGAGAACTTGAAAGCCAAAGATGAGAAATCTGCGGCTGAAATTGAAATGCAAATGAGGAAATTGCAACGAATCAGTGAACACATTGGGATCTGTAAACGCCGAATGGCCAAAGTTTCGAAGGAGTTTGAGGAGAAGAACAAACATTTGCGAGATGAACGAGAAAAATTGGTGGCTCATTTTCAAAATTTAAAAACACAATTAAACAAACTTCGGGAGTCACAACATGAGAAACTAGTAAAAGTATCATTGGAAAGTGGGGCAGCCACAAAACGGGTATGTCCCCGATTTTATTTTATGTGCGAATTGAATAAAAGGTTCAACAGTTATTGACCAAAGCGGAAAGAATTATCAAACTGGCGGAACACTGTCGAAAATACGAAACGGAAGAGGAGAAAGTGATTCCATTCTATTCGTCCAGTCTGACGCTGGAAGAGGAAAAACTTGTGAATGAGGCGTATTATATTGAAGGAGACAGCGATTTGGCTAAGGTAAGCTTGTGCATTCAATTTTCATGAATAAAGCGTCATTTTGATAAAGCAGCTAGCAACTCTAATTAGGAATTGCAGTGCTTCTTTTGTTACCAAATGGTTGTTGTTTATTAAAAGAGCGGTGTAACTTCGAAAGACTTTTTACACAAAGTTTTAGGTTTTGTGTGGAATTAATTTATGTTCCTTTCTCAATAGCCGGTCAATATTTTGTCTCCGACAAATGGAAAATGTGATTTTACCAGGGAGATCAGATTGTCCAGAATAAAGAAGAAAATTCAACTTCCTCACAGAATTGTCATTCAGTTCATACAGCAAAGGATCAAATGAAGCGATATAGCCAGTATTATCGTTTGGCAGTCATAATGCTCACTTCGGTTTGCTTCGTTGTGCTCTTGATGGAAAAAACAGTCAGATAGACGTGTATTGTCAGTTTTGGGTAGTAAATAGAATCAATTAAATAAGCAACTTTTTGTATAAATAGAAATAACCAATCTGTTAATTAATCGAGGAATATACTCACCCTCAAAAAGGGAACCCGAAGTGTAGGCTAAAACACAGCTTCAGTGATTTCATTTTCAAACCACGGCAATTAAATTTATTCGGAATCCACTAAAACAGGGAAGTGGATGACGATTAAGTGAAACCAGTCAGAGTGGACGATGGATGGACAAGCATTAACAGTCTGTGTTAACATGGCCACGCCATTTCGTTTTTAAGGTTACACCATCATGTTGATAACGCGTTAAGTGGTTCACTTTCGTGCAGAATAAAGTGATTGTCTGGACCACTGTCCATTTAGATCTTCACTAGTCATATGTGAATCACCTCGACGGTCATCAGTTTACAACGTGGTGGTGAAAGAGTTAAGGTTTTCCAAATGGCGACCCGGAATTCCTGGATTCGAACCACTGCACCGCTGCCCATCTCCCTCATTTCTGTATTTTCCCAGGCAGCCTTTGCACGCCCTCGGTCATTTGCTGAGAGCTGACTGTACATCCGTATATTCATTAAATAAAAAAGAAGTAAAAGATACCATCTTCATAATGGTGTGCAGTGGGATCGACCGGAAGACTGTCTTCACTAAATGAGCAATAATTGCACGAAGCCACTTCAGATTGATTTTACAAATTTTCCAAGTTAATGCGAAAATAAAAAGCAAATTGAAAATCTGTCTCTAATGTGAGCACGAGACTGTGTTTCGTTCTGTATAAGTTAAGCGCACCTCATTGGTCAACCTCCTTATACTACGCTGGTTGGGATATATGTTTCGTATGTCACAAAATAGGTTACCACGGCGAGGTATTTGCCGAGGCAGGCAGTGGATAAAAAGGTCAAGGACGGTCAAACTCAGACCTGGGATGAGGGCATGAAAACTCGAATCAGGATATCCACTCACAGTCTCTGAGTGGGGACCTCGAGATTATGGTAAAGGGAGGTTAGAGACATTGAGTGGGATGACTGAGTGTCATAAACAGAGGCACTCGCACATCGACTCATTACTCTTGCAACCTCGGTCTTAGTTAATTCTCTATCTTCCCTTTGACTCTGATCTAAACATTTTAATATCCCTTCTGCTCTTTTATCCAACTTAGGAGGACAGCAACCAAATCTGGTGCACGATAGACGGATGGGTTTATTCTGGTTTCTCTTGTAGCACAACCATCTTGGACTGTGTTCATGCGTTTTCAATTCTGTCTGACCGTTCAAGAAGCATAAATATAGTTATATGCTGGTTCTCTTCCTGAGAAGACCAATCGAGGGGTGCCGTGAAAAGCCAGGATCTCATCAACAGTCCTGTGTAGAACCGTGGGTTCATATGAATTTATAGGTAAGCACGAATTAGGTTGAAAGAGACCGTCTGTTGACGCTAGAAAAGAATTGTAAAAGAGAACTTATTGTTAACTTACAATGATGATGGTTTATTCGAAACACGGTGTGAAATAATTACATTTACCTTGGTCCCCTCTTGGCCCACTGTCTCCATTTTATCCACTAACTCTGATTAACTTGACAGACATTGTTATATTTTCACACTTAACCTCAATGGACCAATCACATTTATTTCTACACTAGACATAAACACACACACAACTCTAAGTGCCTGAAGACAAGTAACGAAAACAATCTTGTTCGCTATATTGTTTGGCTTTTGATATTCCTGTGGGAATCTTCCATGAATTACCTGTTTATAATGTGCAATTCACAGCACGAAGCTTGTGCGTAAGCCGTTAATAAATACTCTTATAGAGAGAGCTTCGGAAAATACCACGACAAATTATATTATTAGATAGCGCATAATAACTCCATTCAATACTAAACTTTGTTCTCCTAAACGCACTACGAGTACCGTGGTTTTACACTTTCGGGATAGCTGAATAAACAACGCAAAGAGTTAGAATGATAACTAAAAGTAGTTCTCCATAAAAAGGCGATGGAAGGACACTGAAATAATGGCTTCTAAGAGTATCAAATTTCGGGTTTCATCACAGTTCACCACAAATGGTCCTCATTTTCTTGACTAAGAATAAAAATCCGCACAAAATAATTTATTATTACATTTTGTAAAATTCGCACGTAGTACCTCCTAAACTGCCTTACATCCTTTATATTTCTTTTATTTGGTTGCGTTCAACCATATTTTCGTGGACACCG